TTATTTGTGTAGGTCTGTTTCAAGCCTCTGTATTCTGTTCCATTAATCTATTTGTCTGATATTTCACCAATACCTACTCTCTTGATTAATTTTATAAGAAGCCTTGAAGTTGGGTGCACTGTTCATCTTCTAATTTTATTTTTCTTCAGTATTATGTTGGCTATTTGGGGTCTTTTGCCTTTCCATGTAAGCTTTGGAATTAACTTGTCAATATCCACAGAATAATTTGCTGGGATTTTGATCGGGATTGCATTGAGTCTATAGCATAAGTGAATATGAAATTCCCTTTGCTCAAATTGCTCTCAAGTACATCTGTTGCATTGACACAAATCCAGTAAGTGATAAAAGTAGAACTGACTATATACAGATCTGGATATGCCTTTTTTTCCTGAACCATTTGAAAGTAAGTCACAGATATGATAATATGTGACTCCTAAATGTTTGAGTATAAACCTTCTAAGGATAAGAACATTTTCCTATATAACTATAATATTATTACTATTTCTAGGGTAATTAACACTAATTCGTTAGTTTTTTTAAACACATGCATGCCCTTAATAAATCTGTTAATATATAATATATAAATCTGTTAATATATAATAAATATAAGAAGGGAAGAGTGGATATTGAAGGACAGCTTGCATACCTGATATACCTATATTTCTTTTTTTAAAAAAATGCCTTCTATAAAATGAGTATCTTAAGAGACTCCTTTAAAAAATCTTAAGATACTCCTTTAAAAAAGATAATTTGGGGAAACAGTAAGCACTTTACTGATCTCATGGAGATTCACAATACAGAGTGGCATATTAAAGGCTCTGAGAAGTTCTGCAATAGAGGAATGTGTCTAGCTTTGTTTAAGCTAAGATAACTTGACCAAAAAAACAGACATTTCACAAAATTTTGTTTTCTTTTTTGCAGAAGCCCTATTAACATAAGCTTGGGAAATACTACTTTGGGAATCATTGAGAGTGTCTTAGTTTGCAGTTATGCAAACATTCTTAAAGCAATTCTATTCCTAGGGATGTAATAGAAATGTGCATATTGTGGTGGTCAAAATTCAATCAAAGAAACAGAAAAACTAGGAGATACATAAAGGAATTTGTTGCAGGGATTTGGTTTTATGCAACTGTGGGAGCTGTTAGACAATCTATATAAGGCTGTTACTTGTGTCTGCTGTTGGAGTTTGAAGTCTACTGGGCAGACAGTTATGAAGGAAGAGAGTAAACCTGTGAAGAAGAAGAGGAGAAGGAGGAGGAAGAGGAAGAATAAGAAGCTGAAACTCATGAAGATAGATGGGAACTTGGATCAGGCTGTTACTGTATCCAGCTTTGGTGATGTGGGTGTCTCCTAAGGAGAAGCTGATGCCCTTTATTATGGAACTAAACACACACCTGGCTTAGGAGTCGGAGAAGCTGAAGGAAGATGAAGGGATGGTGGCTGCAGCATCGTCAGGGCTGGCTGCTGCCCCTCACCACTGTGGTAAGCCTGCAGAGAAGCAGCTACGCAGTGGACCTTCTGCACCGACCTTACAGACGCAAACATAACGTGGCTATTGATTCACTTCCAAATCTCAGCTGGAAGCATACAAAGAAGGGAAATTCTGAGGAGGATAGTTCAGCCTAACCAGGTCAATGCATTACAATGCCACTTTAAGCTATTTCAGCAGATGGCAAATACAGGATTGTTTACAGCAGTGCCCGTTGCTGTAACTTCACATTGGAAGTAACCTGAATGTGCATCACTAGTTAAGCAGGTAAACTGCTACATGCATATGATAGAAGTACTAAATGAACAAACTGTTGCTACACACATCAGCATGGATGACATAAAAGACATAAAAGAATATAAACTATAATTACATTTGCAGAAACTCAGAAGAGGCTAAGCTAATTCATGAGAGAGGGTTAATGACTTGGAGGCTTTATGAGGGAGGGTTCTGATGTACAAATAATGTTCTTTCAGCTTCTTGATCTGGGTGCTACTCACACAAATATGTTTACTTTGGGAAAATCCATTGAGTTGTACTTTGTGCACTTTTCTTTTTTTAAAATTTTAAGTTCCAGGATAAATGTGCAGATGTGCAGGTTTGTTACATAGGTAAACGTGTGCCATGGTGGTTTGCTGCACCTCTCAACCCATCACCTAGGTATTAAGCCCTTCATGCGTTAGCTATTTATTCTGATGCTTTTTCTTCCCCTTCTCCACCGACAGGCCCTGGTATGTGGTGTTCCCCTCCCTGTGTCCACGTGTTCTCACTGTTCAGCTCCCACTTATGAGTGAGAACATGCAGTGTTTGGGTTTCTGTTCCCATGTTAGTTTGCTGAGGATAATGGCTTCCAGCTCCATCCATGTCCCTGCAAAGGACATGATCTTGTTCCGTTTTATGGCTGCATGGTATTCTGTGGTGTGCCTACCACGTTTTCTTTATCCAGTCTACCATCGATGGCTGCATAGTATTCTGTGGTGTGTACCACGTTTTCTTTATCCAGTCTACTGTCGATGGCTGCATGGTATTCTGTGGTGTGTACCACGTTTTCTTCAGTCTACCGTCGGTGGCTGCATGGTATTCCGTGGTGTGTACCACGTTTTCTTCATCCAGTCTACCATCGATGGCTGCATAGTATTCTGTGGTGTGTACCACGTTTTCTTTATCCAGTCTGCCGTCGGTGGCTGCATGGTATTGCGTGGTGTGTAACACGTTTTCTTCAGTCTACTGTCAGTGGCTGCATGGTATTCTGTGGTGTGTACCACGTTTTCTTCATCCAGTCTGCCGTCGGTGGGCATTTGGGTTGGTTGCTTGCCTTTGCTATTGTGAATAGTGCTGCAATGAACATCTTGGCACTTTTCTATACTTATGCTATACTTCAATATAACATTTGGGTAAATAAAGTTTTAAGACACTGAGTAGTCATGAGCAGGCTGGGTTGGAGGAAAGAAGCTAAGTTTGAGCTAGCTGAACCCAGTCATGTGTGGCGTGTGGGTAAACAAAGCAGTTATTAGAAGAAGCAGGTTGGTTGAGTATGAGGAGGACAGAGCCTATCGAGGTTCATTGTAGCTCTGTCCCAGACTGTCCGTTTCCTCTGCTGAGCATATACTGCCACTGTGAAGGGTGAGGAGCATGTCCACAGAGGCCCAAGCAGGGGCTGTCATCGCTGCCGTGCATCAGCGGAATCACCGTGTGGCAGGGCAGGGAAGATGGTGATTCTGTAGACCTAGGGTAGCCCCTGGCACCTTTTAAAGCTCGCCGGCTGTCCTGATGCATGCCACAGGGAAAAAATCCACTGGACTGTAGAGGTCATAGAATGGATGGTAGGGGAAAATATAAGAAAGCGTGGGGGAACTTGGTGCTTAAAAAGCTCATCTTATGCCCAAGGTCACCCCTCTTTCTTTCTGAGTGCTTTTTCTTATCTTTGACCCTGACAAACATAACATTGTTCAAAGCTTTCTGTTTTATGAACTCTTAATTCCTTTTTCATGCTTTTCACTTTAGTGAATTGACTCAATGATCGGAATCATTCCTCTTTTGCAAATAAACTATTTGAACATGCCTTGGGCTGCTGAGTGTGGGATTCGACAATGCTCTATGATAACTACCATGTCCTGAGACTAGATTGTATATTCCCTGATGCCCTGAACAATTATCTGAAAGCATTGTTTGACTGGGATTATTGATGGTTTTTCTAATGCCTAGCAAATTAGGATTTGGAGTGTTAATAACAAGTTTGTTCTGAAATGAAATCTCACAAGTAGCTTAGTGTTTTGCTTTAAACCCTTTTGAATATGCATGAAAACAACAGGGAGTATTCTATAGTATTCTCTCAAGACTCCAGATAACATGCTATTGTGTAGTTCCCTGATTCCCGCAGCCTGAGGCATGCTTGTACTTTTAAATCCTACCTTGGCCTGGGGTGGTGGCTCACGCCTGTAATCCCAACACTTTGGGAGGCTGAGGCAGGTGATTCACCTGAGGCCAGGAGTTGGAGACCAGCCTGGGCAACATGGTGAAACCCCGTCTCTACTAAAAATACAAAAATTAGCTGGGCGTGGTGGCAGATGCCTGTAGTCCCAGCTACTGGGGAGGCTGAGGCGGGAGAATGGTGTGAACCCGGGAGACGGAGCTTGCCGTGAGCCTAGATCATGCCACTGCACTCCAGCCTGGGTGACAGAGTGAGACTCTGTCTCAAAAAAAAAAAAGTAAAAAAAAAGGACTCACACCTCATCCTCTGTCCTAACATTGATCCCCCTGCACTATAACTGCTCATCTCCTCTAGATCTCCTCATTTCTGTCCGGAATCTAATCTCACTGAGGTCAGGGACTTTGTATCTCCAGCATCTGGCTCAGGAGAAACCAAATAATTAATGATGAGTGAATGAGTCCCAGAATTCTGGAAGCAAATATCATTGGCCCTTGAAGAAGGACCTCACTTAGAGAGGAGAGAGAGGGAGGGAAACAGAGTTACACTGGTCAAACAGGTAGGAAAAGCACTAAAATAGTATTCTATCATGGAAATCTAGGAAAAAGAGGAGAAACGTTTGAGGAATTAGCAAATCCTACCTAGAGGTGAATGAGAATGAGAGTTTAAAAAATGTTTTGGGATTTTTCCCAGTCATTAGTGGCTATAGATAGAATCAAGGTCTCAAGGGATTAAGGAGAGAACACGAGATAAGGAAATGAGGGCGTAAGGTTAAAAAAACATGCAGAGAAGTGAGGCCACAAAAGGCAGATTTGGAAGTGGTTGAGCAGAATGACAGAATCAAAGGCAGCATCCTCCTGAGGGAGGAGAACAGTGTTTGAGGGCGGAGATGGGAGGTTCCTTCAGTGTCCATCTCCGGATCCTCTGGTGTCACCCCTGCCGGTGATGGAGGAGCTGAGCTCTGAGCATCTCGCTGGTCTGTGTCAGGCTGAGTCAGCAGTCGGTTTATTGAGAAGCCATGTGTGCTAAGCCCTGTACTAACCCATTTTCTTTGAATGATGTTGCATCTTCCTTTTCCTACAGGGAACATGGTAGAATGGTGCTTACCTCAAGATATTGACCTCGAAGGTGTTGAGTTCAAGTCTATGGCCAGTGGGTCCCATAAAATCCAATCTGATTTCATGTAAGTACTTCTGAACTGGAGTCTTCTTTGTACCATTCCCCCTGTCTCCACACTTTCCCCAAAGCAGAAGGGTTCTTGTTAGGAGGTCTTCATGTGCTGTGTGTAAATGCCTTGAAAATACATGGATAGTTTTGTGTTGACATCATTTTTCTAGTGAGATGTCTAGCTTTCATCAGGTTCTCAATAGGCTTCATGACCTACAAATCTCAAGAATCCCTTAAGAAGAGGTTCTCTCACTTTCTCAGAAACTACATGGACCTCACTTGAGGTTTGGTTTTAATGAAGGTGCACAGTTTCAGCCCCGTGTGGGTTAACTGAGGACATCTATGTGTTAAACCTTGAAATTCCAGCTTTAAGTCAGGCCATTTTTTAGTCCTGTGTAGTGGCACATTCAGAGAGTTTTGTGAGAAGGAACAATGGAAACACCTTAAGGGTAATGAAGTGGCTTTAATCTCCTCATGGGGCTGAATTCATGACTGATACAAGTGTGAGAAAGAGGAGAAAATAAAACGGCAGCTCAATGAAAAACATCAGAGCCTCAGGAAGTGAGGGAAGAATCAACGCGGTTTATGATATGAAAGAGAGTCTTAGTTCCAGAGGAGCCTGAAGAGGATTGTTGGTTCTGCTTCTCCCATGCAAGTCATTAGTTGTGGTGCAGGAGAGAAGACATGTGTCCCATGATCGCGGGCAGCTGAGCAGCAGACTTGCCAGGGACCAACTCCCAGCTCCAGCCAGGTGACCCTTGGCAAGTTCTATAATCTCTTCAAGCCTTGCTCGTCTCGTCGGTGAGGTCAAGTGGCTTGGCCTACTTGTTTCTTTGAGGCTGAGCTTTGTCATTGACAGCCCCGGACACAGTTCATTTGTTTTGTTTAGGATTGCATCTCAAACTTCCTCTCTGATCTTGAGCCACGCTATGTATTTGGTCTCTTCTAGCTATTTCCGAAAGGGGCCCTTCTTCGGCCTGGCCTGCTTTGCCAACATGCCAGTGGAGAGCGAGCTGGAACGTGGCGCGCGGATGAAGTCTGTGGGCATCCTCTCTCCCTCCTACACGCTGCTTTACCGCTACATGCACTTCTTGGAGAACCAGGTTCGGTACGTGGCTTCCGTACATGTGCAGGGAGGCAGCAGGATCCACCAGCTGGTGCATATGGCACGAGCCCTCGGAGACAGCACTTGCGTGCCAGAGCGGCAGATGTCTTTCCAAGAACATCCATGGCGATGTTTCACGCCTCGGGTAGTGTCCTTTCATTTCAGCCAACGTCCTGCATGATGAGTCTTCACTCTATAATGAAAGCCGGGGTATATTCTGCCTTCAGTTTGGATTTAATACTGCCATCACTTTTTAAAATTAAGTCATTTGTTGACAGGTACATGATCTTTGTTTATTCAAAGCCACAATAGTTACCTCCTCGCCCTAAGTTGGCAAAGAAATCCTAAACTTTTTAAAAGCCTACTCTTTTTTTTATTGGGATTCTTACTATGATTGGGATAATAGGAAGAGAACTTAAAAAAAATTTTTTTTTTGGTAGAGACAGGCTCTTACTATATTGCCCAGGCTGGTCTTGAACTCCTGGAGTCAAGTGATCTCTTGCCTCAGCCCACCAAAGAGCTGGGATTATAGGTGTGAGCCAAGTTGCCTGGGATAGGAAGAGAATTTTTAACAGCAAAAAAAATTTTAACATTTTTTTATCATGCAAGTAACCTGATTACATTTCAGATTTCAGATTTTGAGGGGAAAATTTATCCCTAATCCCTGAAGCACTGACAAAATGTTACCACTTCTTTTCTGTGTATGTGTGTACGTTTAAAATACATATTTGAGTATATACAATATGTATATTCTTTTATAGTCTATACTTCTAAAATTTATCACTATTTAAACATTTTTATGCGACATAATTGTGATCTTCAGCTTTGAAAGTGTGAACTTTGTTGTTTGTGGAAAAAACATGTTTATTATTTAAAAATTTATATGAAAGTACAAAGGATTTTTAAAAATCCTCTCAAGTAGTAACACTCACAGATATCCATTGACAATATTCCATGAATGTGATTGTAGAATACAAATATCTTTACAAAAATAGGATTAATATTTTATAGATTTAATTTTCTCAAATAGCAGGCTGTGTTAATGACATACATTAAACATACTTTTACTTATAACTTCAAGTAAATATTTTTTCACAGTAAGATACACTATTCATTGAAATATTCCTCCAAAATTAAGAATAAAGGTTATGAAAAATGTGACAACATGTGACAAAATGTAACAATTGTTTACTGAGAAACAATATATAAACATTAAAATTGATCAGGAATGGTGGCTTATGCCTGTAATCCCAGCACTTTAGGAGGCCAAGGAGGATCAATTTAGGAGGATGAGTTGAAGCCAGGAATTCAAGACCAGCCTGGGCAACAAAGCAAGATTCCAACTCCACAGAAACAAAAAAATTAGCCAGGCATGGTGGTGTGCACCTGTAGTCCTAGCTACTTAGGGGGCTGAGGTGAGACGATGGCTTGAGCCCAGAAGTTCTGAGCTATGATTGTGCCATTGCACTCCAGCCTGAGTAACAGAGCAAGACCCTGTCTAAAACATAAAAGTAAATAAAAAAATAAAAAAATTCTTGAATGGTGGAATTTTACCATCAAACACGTTTGTTTCTTTGAAAGGATCTTGCATGATCAATACTGTTGGCCTGTTCCCTTTATCCTCAGCTGGTTGTACAGTTCTTGAATGCTTTCTTCTTCCCCTCAGGATGCTATAGATATTGTTCTACTGTTATCTGAAATTAGTCCTTTTGGAGAAGTTTCTCCATCCAGATACCTATAGCGTTTATCTTTGTCTGTGCTGTTTCTGAAATTGCCAAATGTTTTGTTTTGTTGTTTGTGTTTGTTTTTGTTTTTTGAGACGGAGTCTTGCTCTGTCACCTGGGCTGGAGTGCAGTGGTGTGATCTTGGCTCACTGCAACCTCTGCCTCCTGGGTTCAAGCGATTCTCCTGCCTCAGCCCACTGAGTAGCTGGGATTACAGGGGCCCGCCACCATGCCTGGCTAATTTTTTTTTTTTTTAAGTAGAGACGGGATTTCATCATGTTGATCAGGCTGATCTCAAACTGCTGACCTCGTGATCTGCCCGCCTCAGCCTCCCAAAGCTCTGGGATTACAGGTGTGAGCCACCGTGCCTGGCCTGAACTTGCCAAATGTTTATTAGTTCATATCAGAATGTTCTGGGATAGTTTGTCCCCTTTGCTCAATAGATAGGTCTTTTATTTTTAATTTTAGGAACTTTTTCTTCTGTAATAAAATATTTAACTTTTGCGTTCTTGTTTTTCCTTCTCTAGGAATGCCTGTCATGCATATATTTTCTCCTCATTGTCTTCCATGTTTGTCATTTCGATGATTATTTTAATAGCTCTTTATTGCTGGAGCTGTCCCATACATTTATTGGTTATTCTCTGTGGCTGAACATGCAGCATGTTTCTATTAATTGTTTATTTTTTTTAGCTGCTCCTCTACCTTTTGGAGCTGTGGAAAATACATTTGCACTTATATCTTTTTCTGTATTCAAAATATTTCCTCAGTTTTTTCTTTTGTGTCTCAGAAGTAATATGAAGTTCTAAAAAAGACCATTTTATTGGGATTTTGACACTTTTAAAACAATATTATTCCTTTTAAAAAGCTAATTTTCCAAGTAGGCAACACAGTCTCATGGTTCAAAATCCAAAAATTTTAAGGTGTTATTATATTAGTTAGGGTCCTGGCTAAAAGCAAGAACAGAGGCCCAAAATTACTATGGCCCAATTAAGGTAAAAGATTATTGCTCATGTCATAGCATAGAGGTAAGCAGGTGGTCAAGTTAGGTAGCCTGCTCTGTTCCATACAATTGTTCAGGGACCCATATTCATCTCTTGTTATTCTACCATATCCTAAGAATGGTTTTGTATTGCAAGGTGCCCTTTCCCAAATGTTGAAAGCTGCTCACTGCTATTATGTTTGCATTTCAGCTCATAGGGAAGAGGGAAAGACTAGAATTTGCATATCTCACTTCTCATATTCCATTGTCAAGTTCTCAATCACAGAGACACACCCAACAGCAAAGCAGACTGGGAAGCATCACTACTAGGTGGGTGACCCTGTGACCAGTTAGAACTCTGGGGCATTGGTTACAGACAGGAAGAGGGAAGGCTTGACTTTGAGAAGTCAACAGCTTCTGCCTCAGTTTGCCCCTCTGGCCACTCAGGTATACATGTGTACTCTTCTTCCCACTTGTAAAGGCCATTCCTCCCACCCCAAAGGAGACGTCATAGAGTCTCATTCAGTTCATGCTCCCAGTCTAAAATCTAGGATTTCTCTGTGGTGTGCAGTAGTTCTTTACATTAGGCCAGGGCATGGTTCTTCTTACCCTGAAAACTTATGAAAGAATAGACAAGTCCCTCTACTCCCTACCTCCCAAATGCAATAAAGGAGGTGAAGTAGGAACCACCATACAAACTCCTGTTTGGAAAAGGGAAGAATGAGAAATACGGATGGTCACTAGTTCATAACAACAGTGAAATTCTGCTGAGCAGGAATTGCAGAGTCAGTATGCTGTTGGTTCAACTTTGGTTCTGTTGTGTAGAATCCCCTGTCCATTTTCCTCCATGATACTTGGCTTTGTCTTCTAGAAGATTCTTTCTTCATTTTCCTCCATAACCTCATCTGCAGTGGGCATTGGAGAACATGCCCTTCTTGAGGCTGTACAGCTTTAGAACACCTTTCCTGCTGGTATATAGATTTTGGGGTCAAGAAGTCATAGGCTTTTATAAGCCAAGCATGTGACAATACATGTCCCTCAAAAACTAAATTGACTTCTGGTTTGCTTCCAGTCAGTTCCAGGTAACAGTATCCATGGCCAAAGATCTTCTTTGGGTCATGGATTTTAATTAGCAGACTGAATTATAGTTACTGGCCTCTCGTTTTGGCCGATCCCTTTCTCCCTCATTTTCATAATGACTTCCTTAAGGTGATTCCCTAAATCTGATCTTTGTAAATAAGCTGACTCCCTTGTCTGCCCAAGAATACTAAATTGCAGACGTTCATAGATGCCCTGAGAGAGACTCCTGTCTCCTGCTTTTGGGGTACAGTAGCATTGACTTTTCCAGCCCTATGGGGTCCCAAATTGTTGAAATCTCAATGGATTTATATTGCCAAATTTAGAACACATGACCCTTAGTAGGCTGTATTTTATTCCGTTTTTCCTTGCAAACCAGCCAGTTCTTCCTTGTTTTTATCTTACTCTTGTAGTAGCTCACTAAAAGCATATAAGGGGCAGTCAGCACACATTCTATTTCCAACTGCTTCCCCTTAAAGCTACAAATTCAGAGGACACAGGGTCTCAAGTTATTGAAGTTTTAGCAGATGTTTTGCTACAAGTGTAACAAGGGTTGCCAGCTTTCTAGTCTGCAGTATCTATTTTCTCACCACCCTCCCCTTCCAGCAACAAAGCCAGTGTCTCAATATGGTTTTTGATACTGTAGTAACTCATTTCCAGGTATCATTTTTGGCTTTTAGAGTATAGGCTGCGTTGCTATAATGAAGAAGAGACCCCCAATACTGTGACACAGTAAGATAGAATTATAGCTTTTCCAGCATGGCAGTTGTAGTAGTTCATTGTGGGTAGGTGGTTCTGTTCCACTGGTCATTCTTGGACCCGAGTCATTCAGTCTTACATTATGTCATTTTCTAGAGTGTTGTCTTATCCACATGGTAGAAGCTGTCTCCACATTACATTGTCGTTTTCCAGCCTATAGGAAGAGGGAAAGACCTTGGCTCCATGGAATGTGAGCAGAGGTGGTATGTTCAACTTCCGGGATCTGGAACTTCCGGGATCTGGAAGTTGAACACACCACCTCTGCTCACATTCCATTGACCAGTTCTTGGTTACTAGGCACACATAAGTAGCAAGGGAATCTGGGAAATGTGGCCTTTAGCTGGGCATCCATGTATCCATCTAAAATTTGGAAGGTTCTGTTACTAAAAGAAGAAGAGTGTGGAAGACTACCACTCACATAAAGTGAAAAATCTTCACCCAGTTCCCGTATCCGTCCAAATCTC